TAATGAAACAAACTTCGGCATACGTTGTCGACCAGTCAGGTCAGGTTAGGTCAGATAACATAGGCTTTATGTACCCGAAATGAATTTTCGGCACTTAACAGTAAGTACCGCGAAAGGATTAATATGGCAAATTTAAAAATGCAGATTTATCGATTGGGAAATTGGCCTCAGGTGCAGAAGTGTCACCCGAATACAGTCCCGCATATATTCGTAATAATTTTCGTTGCAAAAGCGAATCATCGACATTTGCTTTCTGTTGAACTTACAGTGTGAGATTCCAATTTGTCAATAGGGATGAAAGCTCTTTAATTTTTAAATGTGCCTTTAATATGTTTGCGTGTAACAGGCGCAGCATTTCAAAATACGTATTAACATCAGCGTAGTACAGCGCTAGGGAACCTGAAATAGTATAACCGAAGAAAATGTCAATACTATCCGATTGTGACTGGTGAGCCCGCGGCAGATAAGTAAAAACCGTGCTCTGGTGAAGTGGCAACGGCTGATTTAGAAGCCCCGCCGTTTTTTATTACAAAAGAAAGTCAGTTTAAGCATGGAATATTTAAACTTAATGGAACCCCTCTTTTAACTTCACTATGCCACGAAAATCAAAAGCAGAGACATCGTGCGACTCAAGACCTCATACGACGATACAGACAACTCTCACACTTTATGGAGAAATCAACCGTATTAGCGTGGATCTCAGCTTTGAGAACCTCAGAGTAACAACGTCGTATTTTCTTGATGCCAGCAACCTAAAAGCAACCAAACCACCGCCGCTTAGTATTGCAACCACCATAAATGCTTTGACAAAGTATCGACCCCAACTGGACGCTTCGTACGTAGGATTCATAAACAGCCCAGCGCAATAGGAAATAGTGGCTGACAGGGGCGCGAGTACGAAATCCAACACCGGAATCAACTAAAACACATCCACAGCTGGATAGCGTAACGGCAGAGACAAGATACTGTCAACTGTCAACAAGTCGCTCACTGCAATGTCGGCTACTTTCAAAGAATCGCTAAAATCCCCGAATACATACAACGCAACGTATAAAAATCTTTGTCATAACACTCCACAGAATCCCAAACAAGCAGATACCACGAAAAGTCACTCCTGGACACCTACTTGACAGCAAACCTACAGCAGAAGTGACCGAAACAGGTTTATTAGCAGGAACATTTTGATAACTCCACATCCTAACCCACCGCACACCAGCGCACGTAATCTTCACTAAGTATTCTCGTTCGACCCATTTTTAATGGAAAGGGGAATGTTTAAACAGTCATTCCTGTCAATGACTCTCTACTCATATGCCAATTTTATGTGACCCATCTTTACGCAATTTAATTATATGACACCGGCGGCTCAGCATCACGGCCGTCGAAACCGGCGTTCAATGCCTTAGCTGCTCCGTTGTACTCTGGTCTTCCAGGGCTTCCAAATGATAAATTGTCTTTACCTGCGAATTTATCGACCGAATATCCAAATGCAACCTTTATGCACTCAAATGCCCTCCTCATGGACATTTACTTCATTGCTTCAGATAATTCCGACCTAAACATCATAAAGTTTGATGCATTTCCATTGGCTGATAGTCCCTCACTATGTTAACAAATAATGAACTTATACTATGTGTTTTGCTGCTCAGTGCACATTCCTACCAAAAGAGCATCCGTTTTCTACGCTCACTTCTTTCCCTCTCTGGTGCACAAAGCATAATTGCGACCAGGCACACCTAGTGATAGTAAAACATATTGGAATGCAATACATATATTGGATGTCGTAAGTCTGGACTAGGTGGCCTTTGCAACATCTACCCACATGAATCATTGCGTGCTTCATCAGTACATATTCCCTCACATAAGTGCCTTCAGGAGTCCGGTTTTATAAAGATAAAACAGATGCTACTCTGTTAATCCTCGGCTGTGTATACATGCACCTCGATTCCAACTCCGCACAAAGTAATGCATTAAAACATCTGTTCCGTTGCGTAGCGTAGCGGATCAACCAGCCAAGTACAAAATGGCAGGATTAGATTTCACCATGCCGGACATCTCGTGGATCTTCTGCCATATTCCCACCAATTATGCAAATTTGCTTTCATCCTTACATACATTCGGGTGGACACAACATGTCACGATTCCCAACAGAGAGAACAACACATTATATCTGATATTTACCATTTGCTTAATACCTGATTCCGTTGATGTTCTGGTACCGTTTCATGGTAGTGATCCCAGGGTGGTGCTCTTTGTATTCACGAATAACGACCGACTCCCGAGTACGAATGCACCTAAGTCACAAATGCTATCCAGACTCTATGAATCAGTTAATTGGGACTCGTTTTCTAAGTTACTCAGGCTTGCTCATTTTAAAAATTACCTCCTCACCAACGACTCGCAAGCTGCAGCTGATGTTCTTTATAACAAATCAACCTCTATCTTGACTGTCTGTCTTCTATCAAACATATACACCATCCCTCAGGTAGCGAAAAGTTAGTTTAACAAAATAGCTGCTAAACTCAAGAAGTGATTATTGCATACCGCAAAACGAAAAATCATCATTCTTAATGCAACAACACAAGTTGTTTACATCAATGATGCTTGCTCATCACGCGAATCAAATCGCTGAGGAAAAACTGACTCTCCATAGTCGATTCAAATACCGTGAACTGATCAGTTTTTTTTAATCGCGGTACTGCCAATCGTTTCCAGGGCACAATCTTACTCGGAACACCAGGTGGCTGCAACATAACAGATCCCACTCAAACTAATATGCTGTACAAACAATATTTTTGCACCTCCTTTAAAGGGGATACCGATCGCCTACGCATGTTCTTGCCACTAGTCACGGTCGATCAGCTCAACTGTATCAAACTTGAGTTTCAAGATATACCAAAATTATCATGCGCATAAAATTGTCATATTTCGGGAGTCCAGCGAATACTCCCTCTGTAGTTATAAAATTGGGCAGCGACGACATCCCCCTGCTATTGCTGATATGTTTTTAATGAACACAGGCACCGTGAATGCTCAGTGGAAAGAAGCTATAGTTGTTCAGCGACATAAATCAGGCTCACATCACGAGCTTAACAATTGTCGACAATAAGTCACACATCGATCCTATCAAAAACCATGGAGAGACACATCAATTCTAAAACTATCGGATAGCTAATATCAACACGGCTTCCTGAATAATTGGTATTGCTTTAGGTGCCAACTAGAAGTTCTAAACAATATAAATGTCTCGTATTATCTTGGAATGTCAGCTGCTATAATTTACCTCGACATGCACATGGCCCTTGACCGAAGGCCTAATGTAAATCTGATAGCTAAATTGATGCTTAACGGGATAGGTGATCCCCTACTTTCTTGGTTCAAGTCATACCTTAAAAATCAAACGCAGATGATTCAAATTAGGGAGTACAAGTCCTAGCCTACAGCTGCGATTTGATACAGGGTTGTGTCCTTGTACCGATACCGTTCTTAATTTCTGTTAACGATATTTCTCACGTGATACAACTTGCTATACCTATTTGTTTGCCAATGACATAAAAATAGTATACACTTTTAGTTCGCAAACTTCCAGTTATGCGGTCAATCTGATCCAACTCGCTCTCCATGCACTTGAAAGTTGGTGCTGAAGTGGAAAATCTCTTTCTCTCCACTGACAAACGTTGTGCAACGTTCCAAAAATGCGGTTTGATTCATAGCATCTTGACTATTAATGGTAAAACACTTAATCCATGCCACAGAGCTATAGACTAGCTTACGATATTCATGCCTAGTTAACTTCTATGATCAAATCGTATATGGCACCATGACAGCATGACTGAAAACTGATATGTTTTACAGGATTTCTTCCCTACATGAATCAATACTTCCTTATTGCTAATCAGTTGTTCCACCCACAATGGAATATTGTTCGTTGGTGTCTGGGAGCTCAAAAAGCGTGATCGCGTTACACTGGAATAACTACAGAGAGCATTCACAAAACGACTCCTTGTTAGTTCATTAAAACTGAAATATTCTGAACGATGTGATAAGCTCAAGCTGGACTTGTTCTGGCTATGGCGCAAAGCGAACAACCAAATTATATTCTTCAACATTTGCACAGAAATACACATTGTTCCAACCCCAACGCAACCTTTATGCAACCAGCAGTCGGCAATACACGAAATAAACAGAAATCTGGTGAAACTCAAGTCAAGAACCAGCAAGCGTGCGAACGTTTTCATCAACAGATACGCCAGAGTCTGGAACAAGCTATCACCCAGAATACATGTCTGCACTCTTGAACATGATTTTCGAAAAAGCATAAGGTACTTCTTGTCAGGACAGAAAATGATCATACGGATTGGTTGTTCCATAACAATATGCAAAGCGTGCGAGCAGGGTCTTTGTTTTATATAACCGGGTGCATGTTTCCCCATCATATTACCTCCCGTGTTTCAGCTACTTTGTTTATGAATGAACAGTTAAAAGTCAGCCAACATAATTTAAAATCAGTAAACGGTCTATAATCTATTCCTTGTCATCCCAATCGTCCTTATCTGATTTAATATGCGATTTTTCTGATCCAACCTTATATCAAATATACCCATACACGATCATGCCCATATAGGCGTGTCTCGCATCGTCGAGAAAAAAGAAAGTATTTATTTATTTAGTGTTTCTGTAACTGGTTTGATAAACTCTCTGTTGCAACTAGGATCAATTTTGTTACATACTGATACACATGTGCAACATCTCAGAGCTACACAATATCTGTCGTCATCCACTTGTGCAAGTGCAAAGCGGCGTGTAACACGTATACCTTACACCTAACAGGATTGCATCGCACTGTAAGTACGTTAATATTTCGACTCACCCAAGAACCGCATAAATAAAGGAATAACTATTAACCATGATCTCACTGGTCATTTGTGAATTGTAACAAAATGCCACGACAATAACCAACATTGACGCACCTAACGTTGGAACATTTCCTTTTCTCCCAGTTTAAAAGGTTACTGAATAAGGAACTGAACAGTTTTACAGAGTCGGACAAGTCCAGGCACGAGATTTCGGCCTACATCTGTGGAACTTTTTTGGGTAAGTTGATTAAAGTTGACTGAATTTTTCATTGTTGGGTAGCCAGTTTGTGTTTCATACACGGGATTCTGATACGCTCACTTTTCTCAGTATCTGATGTGCCGTAGTAACACTTATCTTCCCTAGGTCTGACAGTCTGGAAAATGGTTTCAATTACACCCTGAGCTAAATCTATTAGTCAGGCACGTCAAGTTTCACTCAGGCAGTCTCGACTTCGATTATTTACAAAGCGCAAATGCAGTAAAACATGCCGCATTTCTGCCGCTGTCGTAATCATAGAAAAACATTTCCATCCACTTCGTCGGAAAGTCAAAGAGGTGTGGATCACGGTTTAATAAAACGGACATAAATATAACTGTTAATTACAGCACTGTGGACTTTAAGTTAACTAACTTGTGATTTTTGCACCCGAGGGCATTAGCCCTACGGTCTGTTTGTCCACTGAATTTGAATAACACGAGGTGTTTCTCATTTTAGATAGACAGTATGTCGCTTTCTTAACACTAGTTGGTTGCTCCACTTACTCACTGAAATTAGATCGAATTCCATTTGTATGGGTAAAATTGGGCTTTTGGTAGCCCTTAATACTTTTAGCCACTATTAGTTCGGATATTTTAGTCAAACTTTGACGGACAAAGTGGTTGGGCTTCACTGATGAAGTGGCATTGAACGCTAAGGTGTGTAGGTGAGAATCAACAGATTCTGCTGCGTATGAGTACTCATTGCTATGTATTGTGCTGATTACGTAACTCTCGGCTGCGTCAAACTGCACGCAGAAATAACCGAGGTTGTACCTGATCCAAACTGGTTGCATTGAGACTCCCAAGTATTGACCCGCATAGCCTGTGTTCATTAGAGCAGTGTTCTGTTCGGATAACTCTTGATTTGGTTTGGCTTAAATGGACGAAGTTCTTTGTTTAACGATAACAGGATTTATTGAGTCGCATGTTTGCATCGCAATTGGGAAGCGCGGTAACTTTTATAATTCATCTCTGCACCCGAGGGTTTTGTGTGCCACATTGTTGGATATGACGCGAGGCAAAAATTAATCCGTTTGCTGTCCAATTTCCTGTGTAATGCAAAGTGTCTCGTTGTATGAATGCAAGCTGCGTGAGCTTGGATCTAATCGTTGCTCTCTTAAGAGCATATTGTTCCAAACGGCCTCATCAGCTGATATCAATTGTTCCAAGTGTGGTCGTAGGTTAACGCAGTTTTGGGTAAATGCAGTTCACATTAAGTGTCGTATATATCAAACATGAACTTAGCAAATAGGTTGGCCAGATGTTTCACGTAAACATCGTTTGTGCTGGGTGACTTTGTTTTATATCTGCCGTAGGTTGGTAGTTTGACAAATCTCTGCTTTGGTGAAACGCATGAAATAAACCGCAGCGCTCTCTCAAGTTAATACGTGATGTATCCACTGAAGGAGGACTCCCATAGACTATTTTTGGCTACTATTTTGTAATGCGGTTTTACTCGTCTGTTTCATTATTCCTATAGTGTAAGAGACATTTACCGGTGTCTTCTTTGGATTCATGAAGTTGTAAACTCGTTTGTATTTTCCTCCATTACATCTTATGTATAATATATCGCTTTCAATGCCATGTACGTTTAAATAATATCGGCTGACGGATTAATTTTGATGGTCAGTTTAAGAGTTGACTGACTGAAGGTAGCTCGTCCGTGGTTCTTCATTGGGTCGTTTTATTAAGAATAAAGGTGCTCTCTCTTTAAGTATTTGTAACTGATAGTTATTTTCCATATAGACAGATATACCGCTTAAATTTTCTGCAGCCCAAAGTAAATTAATTTACTGTATATACCAAGTTTAATCAATTTTTATCTGTGTTAGAGACAGAAAATTAAAAAAACATCAGAACAGAAGAATTTGCAAATTGTGATTTTACTTACGTGTGGGTTTAAAGTACAGAGCCTGTGCTGAGTGGTGATGGTATTTAGTCATGAATGAAGGCTTTACTATAAATTTCGCCACATTTCTTTAAAAGATATCGGTTTATTTAGATGAGGTTGTTTTTTGTAGAGGATGAGAAAGATGCTGAAGTCAATCAAGAAATAGAACAAATGCTCGAACGAAGACGCAGTAGTGGGCAATCGCATTCTTCTGCTGGTAATCAGGAGCAGCCATTGGGTTCCTCTACACCCAAACAGCGACATCCAGTTTTAAGTGACATAGGCACTACCATTAGTCCAAAGATTTCCGACTCCTCCAGTACCCCAAGCGGTAAGGTGGAGCAATCAATGGTCACTCACCAAGACAGAAAGCCTTCAGAAGTCTCCAGTGAAAGCGATCGGGTCGACGGAAGAAAGGCTAGCGAAATTGCTGAATTGGACAAAAAGGAGGCCAGAATGCCAGTGAATGGGATTATCACTCCAAATGACAAGGAGTTAGACGAGGTAGGTCAAATTGGATTATTGCTCTACCAGAAACGATTCGCCATAATTTTTAATGTTTTTTGTCCCAACAGCCACAAGCTACATAACCCAGCGTAGCCTGGGCCAGACGCGTTTCGTCCTATTGGGGCTGGTCAGTGGTGCGCACTCCCTCGGTCTCCTACTAAGGCTCGAATTCATGACCGCTCGAGGCAGATGCCAACTCTCCCACAGCTTAAGCCACTGAGCCATGAGGGATGTTGGTTCGGATACATAATTTGCAAGCTAACTGAGATAGAGCACCACTTATCTTCCACTGCCATGCATAATGTTATTGCTGCAGTGCTTGAAGTTGGACAACGTTCTACTTCTTAAAACATTGGGAATCTTCACTTAACACAGTCATCTAGAGCATAACGAAAACAAAATTTACCAACCAAATATAGAATGGATATAGAACACTAACTGATTTTATGGTTGCTGAATAAAGAAGTAACCGCAAAAGAACTGGGAGACAGTTTTACATCCGGTAACCTGACAGACAACTAAGAAATACAAGCATACACGGAGACCGGTAGGCATCGGCTGTACGCCGTTTGACATTACTGATGCTTCGCTGCCGCCCAATCACCAACCATCACAATGGACTAAAGATACTGCGTGGGTCGCCTGGTTCCTAAGCAGGCTCGAAGCCGCGTCCACAGATTATAAGGCACGCTTGTGATCCTTAAGGCTAAGGGCTTTATTTTGTTTAACAAAATGGCTGACAGTAAAGAAACTATGCGAAATTTCGTAGAATAGTCTAAAGTTAGAAATTTCTCCAGTATCCGAAGCGCAAATGATTCATGACAAACCTCGTCTGCTCGTTTTATTTTACACAGAGTCCAGGAAGGAGAGAAAAATAAGCTATTCCATTTGTTTAGTTTAGTTTAGGCATTGTTTTGATAAGCATACCAAGTACGTTGTAAATGATACTCCACAATTTCTTTAGGATACACATTCTTAATTCTTCTAATACGATGGTATAGCTTAGCGTAGTTACGTTGGTTATGAAGAAAAGCTCCGCTTGTTCTCATCCACGCGTTCATGTTATAATTGTTCAGTTGGCCGTCAGCAGTGTCAGCATCTTACTGTTGACCGAACAATCACGCGACTGACTTTATATATTATCCGACATATGGGTTCAACTTAGGAGCTCTTCCTACTCGCAGTAGAATATAGCGGTTTATTGAAGATCCTGTCATGTTATGCAAAATCAGTGATTGTGTTATTAGGCGGAAAATTGTTGTTGTTTTTTTCTGTTGTTCTAACCAGTGATATTCAGCGAACTGTGTCTCCATATGGCTTACATCGACACATCCAGACAGTGGTGGGGCTTAGCGATCGCACTGAGTGCAAGAACTATAATGGTTCCATTGTTTTGGGGTATTTTTGGAAGAGGAATGAATTTAGTTTTGGCTTTATGTACATCAAATCTTTTATCATTTATCAGGAAATAGTGTACAAACAGAAAGAATATCCTAGAGCTTCTGTGTACCCAGACGTTTAGATCTATCCTAATCCATAATGTAACATTGCGGAACATTGATGACTGGTTTCAAGCCCCCATACTTTTCAACACATGAGGCCGTTCGGATTTAATCAATTCAGACTGTGTGTTTACCAGATTAAATACTCATTTGCTAGAAAAAATCCCAATTGAAACCAATCATCCTGCATAATGCGGAGGAACCTATAGCAATTCACCTTAACATATGATTGTATCAACACGCAGTTTAGCTGATGTCACTGTTTCACAACCTCTGAGCCTCTGTTGCTTCCGGAGACCTAAACAATAACTGACCATAATATGTGCAAATATACACGTTGCCACGCTCATTTCGCATTTCTAGTGGCCTCTTCACCCTATCATCGGAATTATATCAATACAATCTGAACGGGGGCAATGTGACGGTCATGCCTTCAAGACTAATCACTCCTGCGCTCATTATAACGTATCTGACAGAAGAAAATATCGTCGACTACGTCCTTCTGCATCAAATATCGTTAATTTAGATTCATTTGCAGTCCGGTAATCGGTGAGAAATGTCAGTTTGGTTGTACAGAAATTACACTCCTCTCATGAAATCGATACAGCGTGAACTTTTATCTAGATGTTCCTGTACTGGTGACAGGCGCATGGTCAATATCTATCCACTTTGAGCGAACATGAAGTCGGTTTGTATTCGGAAACGAGTTTATTCGCTATAGCCACCGTGCCCAAAGAATGCTCTACATGCGAGCAGTACTGGATATTCCCGCTTTTGAGTATTAAGTCGAACTAACTTTTATCGGGTAAAATATGGACATTTCTGTAGAGTTAGCCATCTTACTTGGTAAATTAATCGTAAGTTTCACTCTAGACTGGTTTCGCTAATTTACTAATGCTAATTAAATAATGCTCCCACAATTTTCCACGCTAATTTAAGCCCAAGTGATTGTTAGATCAGACTGTTTGTCTACATCAGACAACTTTTAGAAGTGCAGGAATGAAAATGCCATGCTTTTCAAGAGATCTTGTAAGGTAATGGTTAACGCCGTTTGGGTAAATAAATGGGTTATCCAGTTTGCATCTATGGCACAAGATGTACTCAATTTGGTTAACGAGGTATTATAAACAAGCCAGGCAGTGTCTACACATGCTAACTTCGTGCATGGAGGCGTCAATCGAAGTGATGTTAGCTGTTGCTTGACTAAACCAACGGCTCTGCGGAAAGGTCGGTGATACTGCTAGACTTATTCGGTTCCTTTAAACGTCAATCCATCGTATTATTCTCAAGCTAATTTTATTTGAGCCAATCAATGTAGTCTTTTCTGTCATTCCGTATGCTCATTAAGATCAATAAATTACGATACGTAAGCCGAATCCACCGCAGTTCTATATTATGTCTGGGGGATTAACCGAACCTCCCCATCTAAACAAAACTGATGCGTACTAAGCTAGTTGCCTTTGGATTACATTGTAAGTGCCTTGTTCTCTCAACATTATTAAAACGACAATTAGTACTATGAACGCAGAATGGTATTTCTTCACATGCTCTGCCTCTTTGGATTTATACCACAAATTCACGGTCGTAAATCTGTGCGAACCGGTGCGTACTCCATTTTTATTTGCTACCATCACCAACGATAACAATATCTTAGCCAGTTTTGCGTCGTACCACTTTATCCCCCTAAAACTGTTATACTTCTACCTTTTATCTTACTGACGCTCCTTACTTCAACCACTTATGTGGTTTGCCGATCTGTTAGTATTTCTATTGCCAACCTGCGGGACTCGTTAAGTGTATCCTTTTTTAACCCGTCATATACCATTTTTTCATTGTTGTAACTCGGGCACTTTCCTACGCAGATCAAATGGTCGGCGGCATCCGGTTTCGGAGTTGCCTGTCACTGTGGGCAGCCACAGGACGCCTGCACCTACAGAGGGACAACAGGTGGCTTGCGTTGTACCACACACAGCTCCAATCACACACCTCATATCTAGTGTAAACTCGAAGGAATAAGACCGGGAGGCATGTGGATGAAATCCACGTTTCATCAGGCAAACACAAGCACACTTTAGTTGGGAATTAACCGCCCACAAAGCGGTGGCTGGACCGTAGTCCAATCCACACTGAGTGCATGGAACCACTCTTCGAGCCTAGCACGGCCACAAGAACCGTGCACCCCGTCCCCTCCAGCAACGAACAACTGTCTCCTAGAGGCAGTATGGACGAGGTAGAGGGTAATAGATAGGTATGCACCTTGTCAACATGCACATCAAGCGCAGCCACACCGGAGATGTCAAACAACAACCAATTACTTGAAGTGACATTATCAAAAAAGTATAACTGTTAAAGAATATGGCTATGCCGATATAACTCTCCGATAAATTAGCAAATGAATTAAGTTAGTTAACAACGAATTCGCCATAGGTACAAAATGTCCACAAGTAACCCAAAAAATACTGCAAACACAATAGAATTAACGAAGATAACGACAATTAGCGTAAGTGACGCGGCCAGCTAATAGCATATTATTCAGGTAGGCAGAATAAAGCAAATATAGTGGAATGAAATTTATCCGGCTTAAAATGACCTGGTGTAAGTGTAAGTTGGTTTAGCCCCACTACGGTGAAGAAACATCAAAAATGCAACAACAATCTCAGCATGGGGCACAACGGAGATCAAATAAGCAGTTCATTACGTGGCACTCTCTTTATTCCTACTAATATATGCTAGCTTTAAAGTAAATTTGGAATCTGGAGCAAAGTTTGCATGGATGAATGTTCAGGCCAGGTACATCGCTGATTTTACTGGTTAAAATTTTCTTCAAATATCTGGATGCATACAGAGTGGGGTAGGCTGTTCTGACCCAATGACTCCGGCCTGCTAGTCCAAAATGCTGCAACGGGTACGTGTAAACACCAAATGCCATTATGCAGAAGGTGTTGAAGACGCAGTTGTTCCGATCGAGCCCCAAATATTTGTGGCCATTTTTCGACAGTAAACCTGCGCTAAGTCTGATGTCCGATAGTTAGATGCAAAACACAGTGCAGATATTACAATATGTAATGTATGGCTTTTTGAATAATGCGATTAGATTGGATCTATTGATACGTTTCACGAGCCTTTTGCATCAGGTATATGCCGTCAAGAAAAAAGAAATAAATTCATAAATGGTGGCTGAGACCTGGCCCAAACTTCCACCTACACGCTGAGGCTCCACATTTCATAAATGTGTTGGTACTAGCGAAATTTCGTAAGGTAATGTTGTAGGTTGTATTTCTGCGCAATATAATATAAAAACGATGTAAGTAACATGCTATCGGCAAACTTCCTAAACTACGCGCGATATTTCTCAGCTCGAGTTATGATTTTTTCGATGCAATGGTTTCAGCCAAATGTACTTGAAGTCTATCACAAACAAACAAAATATTCCTCACGTAAAATGATGATATTCGCTTTACTTGTTGTAGCAACGTCTGAAAACTAATGTCTTGT